ATTAAGGGCAGTCCTGTCCTTTCCCCTATGTACTGAACATAACCTATAAATATTAAGAGAGTGGTGGCGGCAGATTGATTGAATCTGTTCCTCCTTTCAAACCTTTGTGTACTTCTGRTTCTTCTCCTCTTTTTCTTCCTTCTACTTTTCTTCTACCTTTCTTAAATCTGAAATCTGTTAGGATTCAAGGCTGATTGTAGTCTTGATCGACTACTGGTAACTTTAGTCATTGTAATAGATTACAATATAAATAAGATGTAATGGGCAGCTAGAGACATAATTCTGCTGAACCCCTTCTTTTCTTCTTCTTCTTCTCTTCCTCACTCTTCCCTCTTCTATTCGTGACCCTTCTTTCTCTCTTCTTTTCTACTGACTTAAATCAGAAAAACATCTATTTTCTGGTTTGATTCTTTCAAGTAATACTTTACCTTTCCCTTACCTATCAGAAAAACTTGGACTAATTTGGTCCAAAGAGCATAGTTACTTCAGTTCAGTTTAATGGAAGTCATCTGAATAGGCATAAATTCAGTAAGCAGTATAATTTGGGACTTAGACTCCATTTATCTCGATCACAAGAACTCAGAATTTCACAAAGAAAACAATACAAAGCAGAATTTTAAACCTCAGATTGTCAAAGTTAGAATTCCCCCAAAAAGTTATTATGGCTGCATGGCCTTTATGAACCTCAGATTGTCACTTTCTTCCTCAAACGTGTCTTCTCACTCTAAAAAAGTGAGAACAGTTAACTCCACTCCTAGAAAAAGTGCTAACTTTAGACACATGGATATCCATAAATTTTCTTTGGTAATAAATAAAAAAGAAAATTTATTAATAGAAAAGAGAATACATCTGATAGTGATGAGAGTACAAGAAGAGCTAGAAAAGCCATTAACATGAAAAACTTCTAAACCAACTCAAGAATGTTCCAAAATCCAGAAACAAGGTCTTCTTTTATGACTTCTTCAAACTCTGGGAGAATGAGAACCCAGTCCATTATCATTTTACCACAAAGTAGGATGAGAAGGTTCCTTGCTCGAGCCTTCTCTTCAAATATTCTCCTATTTCTCTCCTTCCAGAGTTCCCAACAAACAGAAAAAGGAATGCAGCTCCAAGCGATCTTTGCCTTGACATTTCCCCTTACACTTGGTCACTAGGAGAAAAACTCCACTACTGTACTGGATACCTCCAGTTAGTCCTCAAAATAGGTGGGCCTTGACCATTCGACCAAGTGTAGCCTGATCCCAACTACTACAATCAATCGGCCCATTACAAACTCCCTGAAACTCCTCACAGCCCTGGAAACCCTATTATCCCTTCTCCCTTTCCTCTCACTCAGTTTCAGACAGGCATTAAAATCACCCCAACAGCCAAGGAAAAGCCCCCCACTTTGAGATCCCTCCAGTTCATCCCACAACTCCTCCTTACCCCCTTCCCCTGTTGATCCTTAAACATTTGAAGCCAACACCCTACAATTCAATGCTAAATGGTCCGGGACCACTGAAACAGAATGTACACCCTTGAAAAAACCCACCTTAGCCCACACTTCAGAATCCCAAATCACCACTAAACCCCCAGATAATCCCTCGGCTTCACATTCAGCCCACTCAAAATTTGGAGCCCCCCATAATTCCAAAATAAGGATCCTATCTATAAAAATGTTTCCACTCCAAAGAATGTGTGGCCCATATTAATCTTTGAATTCAATTTCATAATTCAAATAAAAGTCATTATGAAGACTTTTAATTTAAATAAAAAAATAAAATAGATATAATTACCAGATAAATAGTGAATCTCAAATAAAATAATACTATTACAAAAACCAAAATGATACATAGGTGTAGTTCCCAGTACTTAGCATGGGGTCATTCACTTAACAAGGAATTGGATTCACACATGTGCTGACTGCTCACATAGGTTGCATGACTATCTCGCAAACTGAATTTTTCTCACATTCACCATAACTTTTTAGTCCCTCTTTATCTGGAACAAATAGGGGGATGTAAATGACCTCACAGTTAATTCACTCATAATAAAGAGGTGCAGCATTACACCTAACTCTGTCCTATATGAAAAGTATACAACCATCATCCATCATCCATCATCCATCATCCTTATTTTCTATATGTTCTATGTAAATTAAGATGGAAATTGAAGTCTGCAACATAATGGGATTATGAGAATCCATGTACTAGTGTCCAGTTATCATAGGTTGTGCTTAGCAGTAAAAATGCCCCAGCCATGATTTTCGGTTGAGACCTGAGTGTTATCTGGTAACCTTGGTGGTCATTAAAAATTGGATTTAGGTATTTAGGTTAATTTAGTGGGACGGTTTGCCTTCACCTTCTTGACAAAACAGCAATTCAGTTTCTTCTAGATGTTGTGCAGATTGTTTTAATAATAGAAGAGATATTTTTCTATGAACTAATTTGTTATTGAATGCTTATTTCTGTCTGCAGCAATTAGAGGTTATGCATTATCTTATTTATCATCATGTGCTGGTAGAATCCGGTTTTTACTGGGTACACCAGGCATGGTGGCTCTTGACCTAGATGCAACATTGAAAGGACTTTTTCAGCAAATTGTTCAGTGCCTTGAAAGCATACCCAAGCCACAGGGTGAAAATATCTCTGCCATTACATGTGATCTATCTGTAAGACATCTAAGCTAAACACTCATCACTAGCATCATATATATTTTCTGTTATCATTTTTTTTCATTACCATTGTTGTCATTGTCATAATGAAAAATTATTTTGACTAGCCACTGTTGTTGAACCAAAATATTTATGCATTTTACTTCAAATCCTTTAGAACATTATCCCCAGCCCAACAAGATCCAACTATTGGCACATTTTTTCCCTTCAAGATCATTTAGAAACTAAAAGCTTATGCAAGAAAAAGCCCTTTGGTTTACTGGATATGTTCCTCTGAAAGGCTCATAATAATATAGTTATACAATGTGCCATACCATTATGGCTATCAATGGGTCGGATCTACCTGACAGAATTGAACCAACTGATCTGATTATATGGGTACTGGTTCAATGGTTTTGTCCTGATTAATAATTGGGTAGGGACCAGTTCTTGCCATTCTGAACCAATTATATAGTTAATAATATATAAAGATCTTCTGTTTTCTTATTTTGTAATTTTTGTCATATTTTATGTCAGTAGAAAGTGCAAAACTGCAATCTGATTTGAAGCTTGTGATAGAAAAGAAAGAGAAGAAGTTTTTGCAGAGAAGAAAATAAGAGAGAAATTGAAAAGAATGGGAGAAAGCCCAAATCAGATCTGGCCTTCCCCTTCATTATCTTATATACAAATAAAAAAAAAGCTGTACAATGACAAGTATACCCTTAGTAAGTCAGCTACTACTGAAGAACATAAGAAACACTCTTAACAAAACATAAAGTAATGGGCCTTGGGCCCAATAACTCTAACTGAACTTTATAAACAATAAACAAGTGTTATCAGCCCAATCTCAACTGTCCCCCTCAAGTTGGGAATAGATGTCACACATTCCCAACTTGCGTAGATCATGCTCAAGCTTGTTTCTTGCAACACCTTTTGTGAGAACATCAGCTAGCTGTAAGTCAGATGCAATATATGGTAGGTATACTTCTTTGGGTGTCACCCTTTCCCTTATAAAATGTCTATCCACTTCTATATACTTCGTCCTATCATGCTAAACTGGGTTATGGGCAATGTTAATTGCTGCTTGATTTTCACAGTATAGCATCATAAATTCTTCTGCCTCAATTCTAATCTCTTCTAACATGGACTAGACCTTGAGGAGCTCTGAAACACCATGTGCCATAGCTTTATTCAGCTTCCACACTTGACCTTGCTACAACTTAGAGGTGTAAATCGGGCTGTGTCGGGTTGACAAGGCATGGACCGCGGACGGCCTGTGCTGTGTTGGCCTGTGGGTCGAGTTTGGCTGTGCTTGCTATCTCTAAGATACTTTAAAGGTTTGGCTCGGCACGGCCCATGGCACAAGCCTAGGCGGGCCCAGGTCGTGCCATGCCGTTCCATGGGTCGGGCCAAGCCATGAGAGTTATATATATATTTTAAATTTGAAAAAATAATGAAAAAATTAAAATAAATTAACAAAATAGACAACATTGAAAAAAGTCTTAAAATTTTATTTTATATGAATTTTGATGTATACAATTGTTTATATATGAAATAATAAAATGAAAAAAAAATAACAATACAATTGGAATAAAATAGTTTAATAAAACTGAAAATAAAAATTTATATTTATATATATTAATATAGCATATATTATATATTATTATATGATTATTATATATAATATGTATATAACTATATATGTTAATATATGGGCTGGGTTGTGAAGGAAACAAAGAGGACATAGGTGTCCAAACCCCCAAAAATTACACAAATGCCCTGAACGTTGACTATCTTTATACCCCTTGTTTAGCTAAGTTGTTTGCCAAACCGTTGGTTGATCTTCTAAGCCAAATTAATTTGAACCAGCATATCCCTGGAGAGCCTTTTGAATTTCCTAAGGCCCTTTTCTTAGCCAGTCCACAACTGTTTTGGAGTCACCTTCAGTAATCAGCCTTTCCCAGCCTAGTTCCTTGGCCTTCTCTAGCCCAAAAACAGCAGCTAAGAAACATGCCAAATGTGCTTATGAAACAATAATGTACTTATATTATTCATAAATGTTTGTTTACATCAATCTGATTGGAGTTAAGGGCATACATTGTCTAACAACTATGGACCCCACTTTCTTTGAATCCACACCCTTTTTCTCAGGAAATTCTTCTCAAGGGGAGTGTTTTGGCTATACTCAAACTCAATTTGGTCATACTCTATTTCTGAAGAGAAGGGGAGATTCTAATTTTGTAGTGGGCTGGTTAAAGAAAGACAAAAATGATCTATGGCATTACAACAATGTAAAGAGAAAATTTAAATGGCTGACTAAGGATATTGATGTAAAATGTACTTGGGTGAGGAGAAGTGCAAATTCCTTTGCTAATGGGCCAGCTAGACGAGGGGTAAATAGGGATTCTTCTTTTTGGGCTCAGTTGTAACTGTAAGCTTTCCTTTTGGGTTATGGATATAGGTATGGAGCACCCATTCTTCTAATGAGATAGAGTTTATCCATTAGGATAAACCCTAATCCAAATCTGATTTTAGTTCAACTCCTACTAGGACTAGGAGAGTGCTCTATGTAAGGGAAGAGAGGGATGGACAAATCATTTCCATCCTAAGCTCTCTCCAGCTCTTTCTTGCCTCCCTTGCTCCCATAAAACCCTAGTTCATTTCAGCCTTAGTAGGGGCGTTTTTCCTTCAGTTCCTAACTGTGGTGTTGAAGAAAACATCAATCCTAAGAAAGCTCACACTGCTGGATCGATCCCAATAGGATTGGCGGTTCGAAGTGCAAAAACTGCATTGCTGAAGTGGTTTCACTTCATTGCTGTGCCATCTTCAGCGGGAGGCCGGTTTGGGTCTGACATTAGGTGTGAACTACCACTTTGGGAGCTGCATTTGTGGACTCCGTATCAGGTATGGTCAGAAATCAACTTGGGTTTCAAATTTGGTCCAGTTTAGTGCGAGATCGATCCCGAAATTCTGGATTTCAAAATCACTAGAAAACTGGTTCCTGGAATGGGTTAATAAAATCTGACTTCTACCCTTTTTTTGATCAATAACAGAATTCAATTTTACTAAGCGAAATCAAGAATACATTCAATATTTCAGAGATAGATAAAATGACTTAACTCTCCCCCAAAACAACAAGAAAATTACAGAATTCCCCAAAACAATTGACCCCTACCCACCCCTGTTTTGCCAAGTTATCAGCAAAGGCATTTGCAATTCTTTTCACCCAGTGAACCTGGATTTCCACTCCCCTCAGCAGCCACTTAACCTCTCTTCTCTCATTAGCATGGACCCAAAAACCATTACCCTTCCAGCATCAATTTTTGGATGTTCAGCTCCTTTGCTTTCCTTAGCCCTACTAACACAGCAAACAGTTCAGCTCTAAGAGAATCACCCAACCCAATGGGACCTAAGTATAATGCAACCACCTTCCCACTCTCATCTCTAATTACACCTCCAACACCTGATGGTCACAGGTTGCCTTCACTACTCCCATTGATGTTTAACTTCAAATATTCTAGTTTAATGTCTATTTTATAATTATAATGTCAAAAAATTAAAAATATAAAAGTATTTTATAACCCAGTGCACAAAACTACTTGGCGATTGGGCGAGGTGAGCCTCCAAGGGCGCCTTGTTGCCTAGGCGGCGCCTTGACAACTATGGTTAAAAACAAGAAATAATCAGGTAGAAAGCCTCCAAAAACAGATCGATCTCACACACAAGGGTGGAAGGACTTTCTGGAGGAAGAAAAACCTACCCGGAGAGAAAAGTGAATCGATCTCTCCAGAGGGATTTGAAATTGCTAGAAACTGAACAACCCCATATAGAAAACCTAGAGGAGTCCAGAAAAGTCTGATCGCCCAGTATCGGTTCCAAAATGAAGAGTCCAACACTCCAACTTAACTAGGACTCTTCCTTGCACTTCAGTTCCTGATTTTGATGCCAAAATACAGATGACCCTTTTGATGACCCACCAAGAACTGGGCACTTTGAAGTAGATTGATCAGCCCTTCATCTCCTCATGCAGTCGGCCAATCTAGGACTGCAAGGAGGGACTCCAAGAAACCCTAGTCTTGCTCTGATACCAAGTAGGAAGTGTAAAACTGCAATAGTGCAATCTGATTTGAAGCTGTGATAGAAAAGAAAAAGAAAAGAAGTTTTTGCAGAGAAGAGAAGAAGATAGATTGAAAAAAATGGGAGAAAGCCAAAATCAGATCTGGCCACCCCTTTCATTATCTTATCTACTCGTAAAAAATCTCAATACAATGACAAGTATACCCTTAGTAAGTCAGCTACTACTAAAGAACATAAGAAAACACTCTTAACAAAACATAAACTAATGGGCCTTGGGCCCAATAACTCTAACTGAACTTTATAAACAAAAAACAAGTGTTATCAGCCCAATCTCAACAATGTCTAAAAGGATAAGTTTCATATAGAGTATATAAGATAATTATGATTAAAAACGCATATTTTATCAAAATAAAAAAGTTCTGTACTTTACTGTTAGTTTTATTAAAATGGAATTCTAAATTATCTTTATCACGGATAATTATAGTTTTGGGAATAAAACATTGTCCTAATTATTAATTGGAACATAACTGGTACATGCTGTCCTGAACCAGACCCAATCCATTGACAGCTGGATGTAGTGTCATGAAATTTTGGCTGTATTATTATTTTTGGTGTGTGTGTGTCTGTAAGGTTTCACACTGATATACCACATATACAGAAGAATGGATTTTGGTGTTGTTGGTGTTTCAATCTAGCTATCACAATATATTTTTTTCCCAAATGACTATGATATTTCCATACACAAAAGAAAACACTATTATGGGGTCATTGTTCCAGGCTCTGCGTAAAGATTGGTTACAGATTTTAATGATTGTAACATCTTCCCGGTCATCTATAAACATTAGACACTTGGAGAAAGCTACTGTCTCCACCGGGAAAGAAGGCTTACTATCAGAAGGAAATGCTGCTTTCAATTGGTCAAGGTACGTTTGATTTCATGAATGTAGCTTACTGAACATTTTATTTTACATAGGAATAGTTTATTTATATTGTACTTTTCTTTCCAATGGTAAAAGAACTGCTGGAGGGAGCACAAACTTAAAGCGTGAAAAAGTAGAAAAAGGTGAAATAATTTTATTTTAGGGAAAACTTGGCATATTTTAATGGCCACTTATTAAACCTTGTATGAAAATCAAAATAATCAGACCATATACATAAGATCCATAAGGCTGTCAAGGATTCAAACTTTAAATTACTTATTTATCCGTTATTACCTTTATACATGGCATGGGTACCAAATGTTCACATGTCTGGCACACTAACCTCCAAAACTCATGGCATGGGGTCATGCCCATAAATAATTAAAAATAATAAAACAACAAAACTAAAGAAAAATATCAGAAGCGGAAGTATTGGCTCTATTAACTTGCACCTTGTCATGTCCTAATTAGCAAAGTGTTGAACTTTTACCATAGTTGTCAAGGTGATGCCTAGGTGGGTGCCTAGACAATAAGGCACCCTTGGAGGGTCATTCTTATCATTCTTATACTAGTTACCGTTTTTGTAGTAAATGAAAAGAAAATTTTATTAAGAAAAAGAAAGTTACAACTAATTTGGTGATGAGTGATCACCACAAAAGAGAATAACCAACTCAGATAACTTGCACAAAAGGGGAGTAAAAGACAAAAATGTAGAAGCGAGGCCTCCAATCCAAATCAAGATCCCAAAATCCATCACCAAGATTTTCCCTCGAAACCCCTTCAAACTCTGGAAGAATGATAACCCAATCCATTATCCTTTTCCTGCAAATGAGAGTGATTTGATCTCTTCTACAGGTCTTGTTCTAAAAAATTCTTCTATTTCTTTCCTTCCACACTTCCCAGAAAGCAACAAAAGGGATGCAGCTCCACATAATCTTTGCCTTGGCATTTCCTCTCATAGCTCGCCAACAAGCAAAATTGTCTCCTGAAGATCTTGGTTCCATTCAACTAGCTTTAAAAAGACTGAAGAAGAAACCCCAAACAAATCTCATGTAGGGGCAGCGAACAAACAGGTGGTCATTCTCCTCTGCATTCTCACACAAGTAGCATCTTTGGGATAAGTGAATACCTCTACTCTGTGTATGGTCCAAAGTCAGGCTAGATACTGTCCAAAGCCACTAACCAAGCAAAAGCTTCCACCCTTGGAGGGACAGGGTTACCGTCTCTTAGAAGTTAAGTGGTTACAAGAATCGGTTAGAAGTTGTTACAAGTGGCAGTCCATTTGTCCAGCTGTCCATCTAGTTCTTTTATGGCATGGACACATGTATAAATATTTAACACCAAAGTAAATGTGAAGCAATTTCTCATTTTTCACTCAATCTCGACATTCTTTCCATTTCTCATCGCACGGCCACCTATTGCGATAAACCTTTGCTTTTGCGATAAACTTTTACACCGTCCTAGCAAAAACTTCCACACAAGTAGCATCTTATAGTAGTTAATTATTGTTTGGGTTCAATTAACACACAAATTGGTGATGCAGTCTTTTTCTGATAAATAACGATTCAATTTCATTAATTCACCATCTTCATCTTGATCATCCAAACCCTATCCGAATTCCCAACTCAATGGGGTCGGCAACATGAATCCTATTCGCCATTCCATTGTTTAATGCCATACCCTCCCTTCTGAGAGATAGCTTCTACTATATCTCCTCTTTCTTTTTAATTACAATTCTACCCAAAACATTTGAGTTCTCACCGCTCCCTGCTCATGCTATTGGCAGCCCTTTGCACCCAAGTCATTCTCACTTCAATGTCTCGGGTCAGCCACCTGAATTTTTTTAATTCATTTCTTTATTGCCATAAGGCTGCCTCTATGCTGCGACCATCCCACCACTAGGCTTGAGTTACCTTCAATAATTATTTTCTTCAAATTCGTATTTCTTCCCATTGTCTCCTTCCATTAATGTTATGAATTCAGCCCTTAGTGAATCTCCTACCCCACCAGGCCTGAGAACAGAAGTATAGAACTATTACATGCCCATTCCCAATTTTGCATACACCTACACCTGATGGCCCTGGATTCCACCTACTACTTCCATTGAAGCTCAGATTTATGAACCCTTTCTCTGGTGGAATCCATTCACTACAACAAGTGATGTTTTCAAAGGATGTTATTGTCACTTCTGTTTCTTCATGTTATCACATGTTGAGAATGCTGAGAAAATCTCTAAGGACTTCAGCTGATGAGCCACCCTAGTAGTTATATATTTAATGATTCCCTCTTTGCTTCTCTCCTATTTCTTGATTTTTTTGATAAGTAAAGATAAACTTTATTAATCCTATTTCTTGAAAATTCTTGATTTCCTTTCTTCCTATGTTGTCCAAATAAATGCACCCCTAGTACTTCTCCATAGAATCAACTTGTCATGCTATTGGGAGGAGTCCACTTGCACCCACATAACGAGAGAAACCATTCTCAAATGCATGCAAAAAAAAGGATGAGACAAGCAACAATTTGGTCACCTTTCTTGAAGCATGTTACACATGTTAATTTTCTCATGAAATACCTCCCAACTAAAAGCTCCAACTTTTGGTGGGATGGGCCTACACCACCTCTTTAGCAAGAAAAGGCTGTTGAAGAACTGGAGATTAGGCTAAGCATTAAAAAAAATACATGAGAAAGATCCTGAAGGAGTCCAAATATGGCTATCTGACTCAAGTGGAGGCTGAGTACACTGTGAAGTTCAGAATCCCTTATACACCTTCTAAAACCCAAGTTCCAATCAAAACCATTATTTGATGGGGAAAGGAGAACAAACCTTTTTTTTTTTTTTTTGATCAACAACACGATGAAAATTTTCATTCATTAATTTAAAGAGGTGCAATAACAGGATGTGAGTACATACAACCATCCACCCATACATTTTTACATCATGTCACCGATGCCTAAAAAAGTTATTGTCTATTAACTCCCTGCTTAGCTTGGCTATTAGCCAAGCCATTTGCATATCTTTGAACTCATTTAATTTCTATCTGCATATCCCTAGAGAACCATTTTAATCATCTTATTTCAAGCAGCTTCCTCCTTCAAAAGCCAGCTAATAACAACTCTGGAATCACCTTCAACAATCAACCTTTCGGCTCTTAATTTCTTAGCTTTCTGTACCCCTATGCCTGCTGCCATCATTTTAGCCCTTACTAAGTCCCCTTCCCCTATCACACATGAGTACATTGCCAGTATTCCTTCAAAAGCCATCTAATATCAGACATGAGTACATTGCCAGTATTCTTCAATTTTCATCCCTTATTACTCCAAGGCTAGAAGGCCCAGGGTTACTTGTGCTACTGCCATCAAAATTTAGTTTACCACCCTCTAGCTGGGGGAACCCACTCCTTCGATATTCTTAGAAAGGACAACAAACTTTGACACCAGTTCCTTTTTGAGGGAAGACAAAGCAAAAAGGTTTGGGAATTGATCTTTTAGAGGAGATTGCCCCTGCCCATACATGTTCCCAAAACAAAGTATTATTACCTGAACAAACATCACACTTGATGTAGGGGAGAAAAGAGAGAGCTAAGTATGAATTTCCACCCAAGGAGAAGCACTCATAGCCCTTGCAAATAAGTCAACATCACATTTGTTGTTTGAGATCCTACAAATACTTACCACCACCTTATGACACAACTTGTCCTTGTCTACAAGTTAGGTCTACAACCATTTCTGGAGTAATGACTGTGAATGTTTATCTTGTCCTTATCTACCTATGACAAGCCAGACCAAAGACCAAGCTTTAATGGAAACAGTGATGGTGTGCAATAGAATGTTAGAACTTGAGATGGTACCATGGTTTGCATTTTTGATATTGATAGACATTATGCCGTGCAGAGACGAGGAAATTTTGTTGAGATATTTGGAAAATCTAAAAAATCAAAGAATTTTTCTAAGAACGTGGAATTAGTTAATAAATCTTCAATAAATCATTAGTTAACGGGTGGAAAAGTGACTAGCTTCATGGAAAACTAAATATCTTCCATTGTATTTTCTAATAAGTGGGGAGGTTTGAGAAAGGAGAGTGACAGATATGGATGTTGCACTCTTCGGCAAGTGGTTTTGGAGGTTTGGGGAGCAGCAAGGAAGTCTATGGAGGAGGAAGATCCAAGCTAAGTATGGAACAGCGAAAAGGCTTATAGTCATTTCAGAAAGCGATTGAGATTTGATGTAGTAAATGGTCAAAAAGTGAAGTTTTGGAAGGATTTCTGGTACAGAAATAGATCCTTAATGGATGCTTTTCCGTCTCTTTTTCACCTGGCTGCAGATGAGGTTGAGTGTGGTAGACTGTATTCAAATACAAGATGGAAGCATTATGTGGGTACCCCAATCCACAGAAATCTGAATGATTGAGAACTTGGACCCATGTTGGATCTGCTGCAGAGGTTTTACAGCTCAGGCCATCCAGCCAGTTCTCTGTCAGATCTTTTTATAACCATTTGGCCATCATGAGTGATTAAGATTTTCGAGTAATCAAAGTTTGGTGCGAGAACATATAACTAAAGTGGCCTTTTTTTTATTTAGAATGCATGCTTGCATAAAATCGTCACAAGAGACTACCTGCTGAAGAGAGGGATGACTGGCTGGTGCCTGAATGTGTTATATATGACTGCTGTACGAAATCTGTAGATCATTTACTGCTCCATTGTTGCTTTCATATTTTATTTGTATCAAGATTCTGAACCTGTTTGCATTTAAGGGTGTTCTCCAGCTTTAGTGATGGACTTTAGAAGAGGTTGGATGTTGGATGGCCTGAGCAAAAGAGGAAGGATTGCTTGACATGATGCCTGCAGTTGTGTTTTGGGTGGTGTGTCAGGAAAGAAATACCAGATCTTCCAGAACAAGATTAGCTCAAATGACTCAGTCTTTCAGAAAATAATGGGAAAAAGTTGTCCATTCACGAGCTGTTTAAAGATAGGAGCTATAGTTTTTTTTTTTTTTTTTTTGTACATGATAATCTTTCTGTAAACCATCAAGGGTTTTCTATAGGGTAACATGGGCAGTTTTTTGTTTGTATTTTTCCACTGTACAGCCTCTAGTTGTACAGGGGTGGCTTTTTTTAATTAAATATTAATGAAATGCTATACTTTACCTTTTTCTCAAAAAACAACAAGAAAAATGAAAAGCCTTATGATTTACAACTTTGGGGCTATAAGCATACAAATCTCCCCATAGCTATCCTTTGATGAGTTATACTGGGTTGTCTTATTATATATATATATATATATATATATTGACATATCCTTCAGTGTGCCAATTGGGTAGCATACTCCTTGACCATGTACCTTTCTCTTGGAATGTTTTGGTTGGTTGTGAATAGCATCACCTATATACTTTCCTGTTCATTTATAAATCTCCTCTTGCCAAGAATATATTTGAAATTTTGAATAAATGACTGGCAGAAGATTGGTTAGATAATGCCATTTTACTACTACATTACAACTAATGAATTATTAAGTACATTAGAATTGCAGCTGTGCTGCTATCCCACTATTTTCTGCCATTTATAATGGTTTAATAGTATTTTAGTTCTTTCAATGAGATACCAAGTACAATATTTTGGTTAAAAATTGTTGTAAAAGTTGCAACATCTTGATGGTTTTGCCACATTAATGGTATATAATGGTCAAGGTCTCCTACTGCTGCAACCACTGCCTTCATCATTTTAAATGTTGATCAGCAAGTCCATATTTATTGTTTTCTTTCTTAGGGTAGGTAAAAACTGAAGGAAATTCAAATGTAAGACAGTTATCCTAGAAGTTCATCTAATGAAAATTTAATTAAGGAATTCCAGAAAGAAACCAAACTAAGTAAACATGTAGGCCATTTTTAGTTATTTTCAGAAACATACATTATGAGGCCCTATCCTTCTTAATAGGATGTGACTTCTGTAAATCTACTAATTAGACCCTATCTAACAAGCAGTACTGAAAAATTCACCACTTTGACAAAGCCCCAATCCATTTCTTATACAGTTCACATATCCAAAAATTTAATAAGGGCATCTGAGTTACCATTACCATGCATCTACTGGTGGGTCTCATAACAGCCTGTAGTTCTAGAAAGTAGAAACTGATTATTAAACTTGTAGAATTAGGATCAATGTCTCAATGTATTTACATAAAAAATTGGCTTGCTTTCAGAACACAATATGTAAGTGCATCAGTTTTATTGAGCTCAGTTGTAAAAGGAATGTTAGGGGAGGGATAGTTGTGTCTATGATCTTTGGGATTATGTTACTGATGCTAGCCTAATCGCTGCAATCTATGTAATTACTACTGTTTATATTTTTTTTTTTCATTAATGAATACATTTGACTATTACCAATAAAAAATGCAATATACAAGTGCAATGATACATTAATAACATCAACTTTAATTGCGTGCATGCATTTCTAAAACAACCGTGACATTGCAGGTGTGTTGATGAACTTGAATCTCAGCTATCAAAGCATGGCAGTCTTAAAAAATTGTATTTCTACCATCATCATCTTACAGCAGTAAGTTATCCCCTTTCTGTTTCTCTGGGTGGACAATTGGTTTCACTGCCTCTGGCTGTTGTAGTTCCCCCTTCTAAAACTTTTCAAAAACTTGTTTCATTTTTCCATAAAAGCTGCTTCTATGTAGTTTAATGTGAATTGTTAAATCAGGTCTTCAGGAATACCATGTTTGGGCCAGAAGGGCGTCCACAGCACTGTTGTGCATGGCTTGGTGTTGCCAGTAGTTTTCCAGAATGTGCGTCTATGATTGTTCCAGAAGAGGTATGTATTTTTTTTTTTGCATATATTATTTCTATTGTTTTGCCAGCTACATATGGAAGAATTCACAAGATACAATATAGTTTATGTAATTTTGCTGTAAATGGTTGTGTGATAAATCCACCAAATAAACTCATGAATCTTATGAAGGAAATGAAAAAACTTCTTGTACATGGTGAATTTTAACTTGCTAAAGATGAAAAGGGAAAAGAAACTTAAGTTTTTTTTGTAGATTTTAAATGCCAAATATTCTTATACTGTTTTGATATTCTATCCATGATCTCCTAACAAGCCTAAGAAAGTAGACTTAAATATCCTTGTGGAATTAAAAGACACTTAACACTGTATTATTGATGTCAACTGGTATTTTACCCCTGTATTGGTATTAAAGATACTCAAATCAATAAAGTTGGCTGCAGTGTTATCAATGGGGTGATTGGTGAGGCCATGACTAGTCCTTTTGACCTTTCTAGTCAATGTGATGACTATGCGCCAATTCATCATCATCATCTTAGCCTTGTCTCAATTATATGTGATTGGCTACAAATAGACAAACTAGGATCCTTTTTTTTTGATAAGTAACTGATGAAATTATATTATGAATCAAACAGTAACAATGAAAGAACAGTACAAAATGCCAACTACAAAGCCTCTCCAGCCAAAGGAGCTTCAGACAAGAAAGAAAGTAGAAAACCATTCAAATACTAATTACACATTACAACCCGGCTTTGGACATCCCCATTCCAACTGGTCCTTTAAAACACCTGTTATAGCTAAAGCATCTTCCATCATATTAGCACTTCTAGGATTCCAATTAAATGAGGTATTCACAGACGCCCCTAGAGCAAGTGCCTGCCTTACTTTTGGCCTAAACCTCCAAGGCAATTCACCATGGTTATTCAACCAGAAAATGACTATTTGACAGTTCCCTTCTACCTCCGCATCTCTTATACCCTTGGTTCTTCAATCAGGACCCATGACCATGAGAGTTGGCAAAGGTTTTAGTGTTAACTGCCAACAGCCAACCTGACCCAACTCTCATTTATCCCATCTTGGGAATGGTGGTGTAAGATAAGCTCACACTGACAATTATCAAAAAAAAAAGGGCGACTATGTGATTAAAGAATGTAAGCTCCATCAAAACTGTTTCTTTGTCCAAGCATACTTCATATCTTAGAACAGCAGGACTGACCTGCTCACATCACATGTGCATCATACCCTCTTTGAATGCCTTCAAATAGAGGGCTCACTCCATATATGACTGTATCTTTAGAACAGCAGGACTACAAGGATAGACTAGCAGGTTAATCTGATCTACTGCTTTCATATCCTGTTCTTGTGCAATCTGACCTGCAAACAGCAAGAGAACAAGATAAGAGAGGGAGAAGAGAGAACAGAAGTTGGAAGGAAGGGGAGATTGTGGGAGAGAAGAATTTCATCTCCCCCACAACCCCCAATCTTTTTATAAATAATATATCACACTACATGGTGTAACATGGCCTCGCGGAAGGCCATAGTAACAAGTTCTGCAGTAATGAGTTTGCAAATTCTGAAAACAGAGACGATTCTGATAATGTACTTAGCCATTTTCAGAAGAAATCAGGTTTAAGAGAATAATAGGACAAAAGAATCTTGAGCATGTGTAACCACAGGAAAGGGAAACTGGGTACATGAATAGAGTATGGCATGGCTCATGAAAAGAGATTTGCTATAATAAACTCAGAGTGTGTGATCCCATAATTGTTAATGATATGGAAAAAGACAAAAGACAGAAAAGACGAAAGTTAACAAAGTGACAAGCAGACAAGGGAATTTCCAGAAAGTTCTACTTTTCTACAAATACCCTGACAGAGAGGGGGCGAGGGGCAGAAAAATGAGAGAGAAAAACGAGGTGACAGACAACTGACTTTCCCTCTCATCCACTTTACAAATCAGTCACTTCTACTCCAGTTTAGATCTCAGATTCAGGGGAAACTCTTGTGGTTTGCCTGCTTGCCATTCCAACTTTTAATTTTTAAACAGTCAAACCAGCTCATCCTATCCCACCACATATGGACTTGTCATGTTTAATAAAAGAAAATTACAACCTTCCCCCTTTTTAGTAATCATCTTAATAGAAGTCAAAACTATCCGCTTAACTTCAAATATGTGCCTAAACAATTAGTAAACCCAAAATTCAAAATTTTGACGAAGGAAAATATAAAGGTCAGTACCCAATGTTGGGTCCAGATATCTGAGATCTTGGGAGGTGTGGATTGGATATGGACCTAACCTTTGGCATTATTTTCATAAAGTGGCCGCTATCAGACTCAAACCCACATTCTCACACTCAATAAACCAAGATTTTAACATCTCACATTCTCATACTTGTCAGACCAAGATTTTTCATAAAGTGGCTGCTCTTAGACTCAAACCCACATTCTCACACTTATCAGACCAAGACTTTAACATAACACCAATGGATGGCCCTTGATTACAGAAAATATACAACCAAATTTTCCCTCAAAGCATTTTAACATCATTTAGATGTTTTGCAATTTCAGTCAATGTATTGTGGAATAGTTAGTGTGAAGACGTTCACAAATGTGATACTCCACCTCCTCTCCCATGTTTACATTGATGAACCAAGTCTATGAAAAATTTTGCAGTTACAATCCTTGATTGGATCTATTGTCATGTAGAATAAGGACAAGCCTGTAAACTGCACAACCAAGATATCTGCAAGTCATTTAATGATAGTTTCTTTATTCATATCTGATGCAGTTAACAAAAATTGGCCGAGATGCAGTTTTATATGTTGAGTCTCTCATTGAATCCATCATGGGTGGATTGGAAGGACTAATAAATATTCTTGATTCTGAAGGAGGATTTGGCTCCTTGGAGATGCAGGTGATTACTTTTTTGTTTATGTTGGACAAGTGTTGAAGGGATAAATGAATACACAATGATATTCTAAGTCAAATTTTATATACATTTTCAGCTTCTTCCAGAGCAAGCAGCCATGTACATGAATCATGCAACAAAAGTCTCAACCCCTTTGGCAAAATCTCCAAAAGGAACTACTGGTTTGTTGTTGCCAGGTTACGAGAGTTACCCTGAAAACAGTAATTCTATTAAAATGTAAGTTGTAGCAATTTATCAGGATGTTTAGGAGGTTTTGTGATGGAATAAAAGAATGGTCTTTACTCTTTAAGATTTGTGTATTTTACAGGTTAGAGGCTGCCATGCAGAGGCTGACAAATCTGTGTTCAGTTTTAAATGATATGGAACCTATATGTGTTCTAAACCATGTTTTTGTTCTAAGGGAGGTGAGACACTTTTTTTCTCAGAACTAATATGCTATTACTCTTTTAATCAAGTTTAATTCAACTCTGCCTGAATCCCAACTATTACTCTTTAACTCAATCATATGAATTTACTATTAAACCATGTATTCTGGTTATGTACCTGAGGACAAAATGTTTGGATTGAGGTCAACTCAATGCAACCTGAGTTGTTGAATTCTCAACATGAATCCAACTCAATGTGGTTTTAGAACCCTAAACCAATTTGTTAAGGGTGAGTAACAACAAATTAATGACAAATATCTATATACAAATGTAAGTTTTTTTTTTTTGAGAGAGAGAAGGTAAAATATATTGTATAGAAAGGGAAACCCCATTACAAAGAATAGCTGTGCATGCTAGGGGAATGCACAATATCCGTATACAGCTTAATTACAAAAAGAGAGTGCCAGTTGAAAGATTTGAAGCTTTTGCCCAAAAAATAATTTTGCTGTCATTTGTGTATCATCTATATGAGAGGTTTCTGCCTTCAAATTGTCTACTCTTCCTTTCACTCTGTATAGACCAAAAAGCAGCCACAGGGATCATGCCTCAAATGATCTTATCATTGCTTCAAGGCCTTCAATATATTAGCTCCTTAAGAAATCAATGATGGTGCCTGACAATACCCAGTTCAAGTGCAGATTGGCCATCTGGTAATTCCCAATTTGCCTGCTCATTGAACTATGCACAAAATGGTGATTTTCTGTTTCTTGGGCTGAATTACAAAGGGGACAGTTGGAGGAGGTAACTGAAATACCTCTGCTGCTTAGCTTGTCTTCGGTGAGAGATTTGCCCAAGGCTGCAGTCCAGACTAAATGGCACTTTTCTTGCCCAAACAACCTTATAGGGAAAGGAAGAATGGCCCAAACAGAGGTGCTGCATCATTGATTTGATGGAGAAAATTCCATCTCCAAATTCTGCTGTCTTCTGAAACTTTTGGCTGGTACTGTTGTAAATGGAGTGACATTTCTTCAAGCCTATTGATTTCCCAATCAAAGAGATTCCTCCTGAAAATGGGGGTCAGGATCCATTTGATCCAGAATGATAAAATATTTCAGCTACTGTCACTTCTTTGTTTGTGTTAACATTGAAAAGACTAGGAAAGGAGTCTGCCAAAGTTCTACCGTCACACCAAATGGACTGCAAATTAGTGGGATCTGATCCAATTCGAATCTGAATTTGCTGGTGAAAGCTGGATTCGAATATCCCTTCTGATTTAGGACAGGTTAGGGTCCTACTAATTTAGGATATGGTGGTGGACTTTGTGGGGTGAATGAGGTTCTGGGGGTGTGATTAGTGATGAAGAATGTGGAGGAAAAAGCAAATGGGGTTCTTGTTGTGCACCAAAGAATGAACAAGAAATTAGAAGAGAGGTGAACCCTTGCTGTAGAGAGAACAGCAAAAAGATAGATCACTTTGAAGAAGAAATAAAAAGAGGGGAAAAAGCAGCAAACCTTCTGGCAACAACCAGAATTCACTAAACCAATCTTTATTTCTTCTAATTACTCCTTTGAACTCCAATTACAATGACTCTGTTTATAGACTTAATTTACTACTCGAAGGTCCCTTTTTAGACTCCAGTTTGGACTAGGAAATTGACTCAACACAATTCCTAATTACTTTAGAACTAAGCCAAATTCATAACTAATCCATTAGGACATTTATTAAGGACTCCAACTCTTAAAAAACTCTAATAACACTTTCTTAATCCAACTAAAACTACTTAAATTGAAAAACATCAGAAATTACTAAAAGTAGTAAACCGCGAGTTTACTAAAAATAGCAATTACGATAGTTACTATAGATAATAAGTCCGAGAATTACTATAAATAGTAATTTCAAAATAACAAAAACTAAGGAGACCCCTCTTTTAGTTTTCACCAATTCTTCTCCTGTAAATTTCCTTAAAGATGAGAATGAGGCCAAAAGCATTTTTCAGACCTTTTCTTCAAATCTGTTAGCTTCTTTTTGGGTTTCCAAAGAGACTAAAACTGATTTAACCAAGTGCATGCTGCTGCATCAATTCTCCCCCTCTGAGAAAAACTTGAGCCCATTGAGTTGGAAAGAGAGACAAGTATTCTATCATTAGGCAAACACATTAGCAAAAAATTACCAGCAGTCTTCTCAAGCTTAGGTATTGACAAATTATGTCCAGGCATCAATGAGATACACATTGTCTGACAAGAAGGAATATGTATTTTCCTTACCATTATGCTGTACATTACAATCATATAACCATGGATGTCCTAGCAAAATATGGTACATTTTGATAGGCAAAACATCACAATGCATTGTATCTTTGAAGTTTCCAATGGAATATTGCACCAAGTATCACTGCTCTACTTTTTAGGTTTGTGTTGTTAACCCATGTGACCTTGTATGGGTCAGGGTGTAGTTCCACTTTAAGACCCATTTCTTCTCAGCATCCTCAGAGATTATGTTACTACAGCTGCAACTATCAATCATCATGAGACAAAGTTGTCCTTGGCATCGTACACATGTCTGGAAAATACTACTACACTTCCAGTCTTCGTTCTCAAGAACTGGATGAGTTGTATATAAAGGTCATAATACTAGACATGGATCTTCATCATCTTCATAAATAATCTCCTCTGTTGAATCTGATTCAGGTCCTATGACTTCATTTTTTATAATATTCTCTAGATGACTAATAAGAGCTACTACTTTGTTTGGGCAATGAGAAGAAAAGTGACTAAATCATTTGCAATAAAGGCATTTTATATCCTTCCTAGAGTTATCTACAGCTGTGTACTGCTTTAATTAATTGTAGAAGTAAATGACTTGGACAGGTTGAGATAGGAGTAGAACCTGTAGAAGCACAAATGGTCATTTGAGAGTGGCTACGATGCTGTTCAAAAGTAAAGGAATGATTTGAGTGGAAGGTGGATCTTCTATGGAGATCCTCTTCAATTTGATAGGAATCTGAATGGCATCGGACATTGAATATAGTCTGTTAGTAGACCATCCAGATGCAATCTGTGGCTTCAAACCTTTCCGGAACATTGATATCAATATGTCATCAGTCTATTGCATTTCAGACTCATAGCTAAATGGTAGAACTTGTTAACATACTCTTCAACTGTCATAGATCCTTGTTGTAACTGCATAAGTTGAAGATGCATGCACTGTTTGTGGATCTTCTCATAACTTCAGCTTGTCTAATCCATCAAACACATGTTGTTCCTTTCATCTTTGCTTTGGCAAAGAATGCCTTCTTGTCTTCTGTCATGTCATACCACTGGAAATATGATTCTAAACTACGTATCCAGTCTTCAAAAAGATCGGGAGATCCATCACCATAGAAATCAGTAACATCTAATTTAACTCACCTATCAAGTTCATAACAAGGGAGATATAGTGGTGGTTGCTGTTGTGGCCCTAGGAGGAATATCAATAGCTGTTTCATGTTGAAGTAGTTGCTACATAGTAAGTGCAATAGGGAGCAGTGGAGGAATAATGGGCTGAGAAATTGGTGCTAAGGAAACAGACTGATAAACTCCCTCATTATATGTGGCAGTTGAAGAACTCTCACCAACATCAGTGTCTTTCCCTAACCCTATGACTAGAGCTTCAATCTTGGCATTCAAAGTGTCAAATTTGTGATTCATTGCAGCAACTTTTTGCTCCAAAGAAGTGACTTTAGATGTAAAATAGTCAATTCGATCATGGAGTCAATCCTTCTCTTCCTCATAGCTATGAACCAAATCATCAACCTTGGCATTGACTTCTTTAACTGTGGGGTTCATCATGTTTACCTCTAGATATGGATATGATACCTCTTGATTTGACTCTGATATGGCTCTGATACCAAACTGATGTAGGACGGGTTAGGGTCCTACTAATTTACGATATGGTGGTGGACTTTGTGGGGTGAACAAGGCTGTGGGGGTGATTAGAGATGAAAAATATGGAGGAAAAAGCAAGTAGGGTTCTTGTTGTGCACCAAAGAATGATCAAGAAATTTGAAGAGAGAGGTGAACTCTTGCTGTAGAGAGAACAGAAAAAATATAGATCAATTAGAAGAAGAAATAAAAGAGGGGAAAAAAAGAGAAATGTTGTGGAACATAAAGAGGTGGGCTTGGGCCTTTAATTCTCCATCATGTTTTTTCTTCTGTTAAGTGTATGGGCATGGGTTTATTATGTATTGGTTATCTTTACGTGTGGCCACCTAAGCAGGGGCAGTTTTGTCTCTTTTTGTAATATTTTTTTTTTTATCAATAACAGGAGCATTTCATTAATAAGAGATTAAAATACAAAGGAGGGGTGATAAAATATCTTAGCTCCCCTAGGGATCAGAAGATAAAAAACAGTTATAAATGAGCCCAGAAAATAGAATCCCTATGCACCCCTTGCCTAGCTAAACTGTCAGCGAAGGAGTTGGCACTTCTCTTTATCCAAATACATTTTACATCAATGTCCATAGTCAACCACTTAAACTTCCTCTTCTCATTGTTGTAGTTCCAAAGCCCAATCTTGTCTTCCTTTAACCAGCCCACTACTATCTCAGAATCACCTTCTATGACCAGCTTATTGATATTCAAGTCCCTTGCTCTTTTTACCCCTTCCATGACTCCCATTACCTCAGCCCTAAGGGAGTAGTCGCCCATGTGCAGACTCTGTAATTTGATGTATCTTATTAGTATAGTCCATGTTGTATATTACTTATACATCTTATTCTTCTTTTCTCTTTCAGCCCTATATGGGCATTCTTGTAATTGTACATATCTTTTAATATATAAGAGACTCTTTGAGGTGGGGGTCATTCATTCTTGACATCTCTAAGATTATTCTTGTTCTTTTCTCTATTCAGTCTAGAGTGTTGACATGGTATCAGAGAAGGTTGCTCTCTTACTATTTTCTCTCTCTCTTGAACCTCACTAGAAGCAGTAATCCTATTGTATTAGGGCTGTTTTGATCAACCCTTTTCTGTTCAGTCTTCTTTGCGCAACCAGCAGGAGAGATTTCATTAGATCTCTCTTGGGAGACATTGGTTTGAGGCCAAACTTCAAATCTGGTGTCGCCTAAACCTGATCTATTCTCCCTACCAACAACATCTGATTTGGTGAAATTTTCAAAGGAGTTCTGATCTTCTTCTTGGGGCGGAAACATTGTATAGTTTCCCTTTTTGGACTGCAACAGCTTTGGACTTCAGATCTGGTGTCGCCTAGACCTGATCTAACAGCATCTGATTTGGTGAAGTTTTCAGAGTTCTGATCTTCTTGGGGCGGCAACACTGTTCAATTTCCTTTTTTTTGGACTGCAACATTTTTGGACTTCAGGCCTTCTACATCAGCCTGCGATTTGAGTTTTTCTCTCCAGATTGAAGGGTTCTCTCAGCCTCTTCTTAACCCTACACTCAGTTTCTGGTTTGGAGATTTCTAAGGACTGTTTTGATCAGCACAAAATACCTCCTTGTTCTTGAAAAAGACGCCTGTTGTGTTGGTAAATCACAGTTTTCTCTCAATCAGCTGACTCAATCAACCTATAACCCTAGATCTGGTGTCATCCTAGGGTTTTCTTGCTTCCTGTTTATTTGATTCAGACTTCAAATTCATATTTGAAAGGATTTTTGGACTGTCATCTTGAGTTCTTGATTGCTGAATTTGGTTCTCTGATATCCTTGTGCCTGGACTGCTGTTTTCTTGCTAAAATGGCATCCGATAGAGACTATTATTCCTATAAAACTGGAAGGGTCAACCTATGGAATTGACATTGATACTGTAGCACATGGGAGTAAGAAATCTACTATTGGTGGTGATTCTTTTGTTAAAGGTGATTCTCTGGCATCTATGGTTGAGGAAAACATTCGACAAATGGTAACATCTGCTATTTCTTCTGCTCTTTCTGCTATTACCTTACCTAGTAAGTTTGCCAGATATTGTGCTTCTCCTTCTCATATTGTTACTACCAATGGTGAAAAGTTAAACATCATTGGTAGTAGCGATCTATCTCTTAAGCTTTTACCCACTGCATCTTTCCCTCTTACCAAGACCCTTCTTGTTCCTAATCTCACTACATATTTGATTTTTGTTGGCCAATTAATTGATGAAGGTAACACTCTCATCTTCTCTCAAGATGGATGTTTGAAAGGGAAGGGGCACAGGTAGGGTCGTCTATTTGCATTGGAGTTCAAGAAGTCTCAAACAACAGCATCATCAGCTTATTTCAGTTCCTCCACTTCTAGTTCCTTTCTGAATCATAGAAATAATGTTTGGGACTTATGGCATAAACGCTTGGGTCACTTACCTGCTGAAAAATTAAAATTTTTGTTTGATTCAGGCCTTATTAACTAAAAATAAAAGGCTCAAAGAAAAAATCAAACTTTAATGAATAAAAAAACTTTCATTTTATTGTTTTATTTTCATTTGAAACACCATAATATGATGAACCAATATTTTGTTACTTGTTGGAATGTTATTTTTGTGATCTTATAACTTTCTTTGGAAATAAGAGTTTTATGTTATTGTATTACCAGGGATTAGTGAAAGGGAGTCTATATGTAGAAGTACTATTATGAAATAGTCAATTTGGTATCAATTTTTCATGTTTCTATCTTCTATGTTTCCTCTTATTCAATCATTATATGGCTCCAAATTCAGTTATTTATCAATTCTTTGTAGTTTATATCATATGGAATCAATGTTCAATGGTTTTCCGGTTAGGTTTTCTTTGGAATAAAGTTTATCCTTCTAAATATTTTGCTGATGTGTTTTAGAATAGTCACATCAAACTGATGCTATTTTGATCATGACATACCTATTGTCCCTATTCAGTACATGAGGGAATGCATCCTTGGAAACTTTAGGAGGAGACTGCTTGCAGTACTGAAAACTGATAGTGATCTTCAGCGCCCATCTATTCTGGAGTCATTGATCCGGAGACACATTAGCATAGTCCATTTAGCAGAACAGCATATTAGCATGGACCTCACTCAGGGAATCAGGGAAGTTTTACTAACAGAAGCCTTTTCTGGGCCTGTTTCCTCACTGCACTTGTTTGAAAAAACGGCAGATCAACATACTGGTTCTGCTATTGAAGCTGTATGCAACTGGTATATTGAAAACATTGTCAAGGATGCATCAGGTGCAGGAATTCTGTTTGCACCAATCCGCAAGTGCTTCAAGAGCACAAAGCCTGTTGGTGGATATTTTGCAGAGTCAGTTACAGATCTTAGGGAATTGAAGGCCTTTGTTCGTATATTTGGTGGCTATGGGGTTGACAGATTGGACAGAATGATGAAGGAACACACTGCTGCATTATTGAATTGCATTGACACATCATTGCGGTCAAACCGTGAGGCACTTGATGCAGTTGCTGGAAGTATGCATTCCGGTGATCGTATAGAAAGGGAGGTGAATTTGAAGCAGATTGTGGACATGGACACAGTACTTGGGTTCTGCATTCAAGCAGGGCAAGCACTAGCTTTTGATGGGCTTTTAGCAGAGGCTTCTGGGGCAGTACTGGAAGAGGGTGCACCTCTGATTTTTTCTTTGCTGGCTGGGATTTCTAAGCATTTACCTGATGAAATACTAGAAAAGGACGAAATTAGGAGGTTGAGGGGAGTTGCAAATAGTGTTGGAGTAGGTAGTGATCATGATTCAGAGTGGATAAAATCAATTTTGGAAGAGGTAGGGGGTGCCAATGATGGTTCATGGAACCTGCTGCCATATTTGTTTGCTGCATTCATGACATCCAATATCTGGAACACAACTGCCTTCAATGTCAATAATGGGGGCTTCAACAACAACATGCACTGCTTGGCAAGGTGGTCATGCTTTCCATAATAACAATAAATTAATCATGTTGTATCAAGTAACTGCATGCTAAGAAATATGATAGTTCCTCCGTGACATGGGGATGCATATATCATCCGGTTTATGGGCATATCTGAATCCCCTGTATCATCTCGGTTGAATTACTTAACCCCTTTTTTTACTTAATTTTAAATGGGCTAGATAATGGGGTCCCAGAACCCTGATGAAGGTGGGATTTGTCCTAGGTCTCCACTACAATCAGGAGACTTTACCACTGCCAGATGGCATGTTCACCTGACCACCTTATTCATTCACAGTGAAAGATTGGAACTATCTGTTATGCTTCATAAAATAATACAGCCTCAACCATTAATTACAGAAATTTGTTGGTGCAGGTGCATCAATGCTGTAATGGCAGGGAGTGAATTTGTGAGAGTGGAAAGAAAACAGCAACAAGAGCAGTCCCTCTCAAATGGACATGCTGCCGAGGTTTCAGAACCTGAAATACAAAACCGTTTGTCTGTTGAAGCTAGCGTAAAGTCTTTGATGCAGCTATTTATTAAATGTTCTGCGGGGATTATACTCGATTCATGGAGTGAGAATAACAGGTATGGTCATGCTCATATAATGTTATAATACTCTTATCTCTTCTTTGAAATTGGTTTAATTTGTCATAGATCAACCTTAAGACATATAAATTTAGTTATAGGTTTTCAGCAATTTCAAAAAGTTGATAAAATTTATTATGCCCTCTGAGGTCCAACCAAATTCAGAAGCTCAGTGATATTCTTGCACGTAAAGATCAAAATCTGGACCTTTTGATTTTTACCTTATCATTAAGCATTTACTTTTAGATTTACTGCAACCGAAGGAATTTTTTTTGAAAATTGAATTCTCGTATCTGTTTGAGTCATATTTGGAGTTCCTTGGAAGTTCTGCATTGATGAGAGAGTTGTCAACGCAGAAATTCTTGACATATTTTGTACACAGATCCACTACTTGATGGGTCAATTGGGAACTAGGTGACCACTAGTCCACCTACTCTAAAAATTAGCATAATCATATGATCAACACTGAAAAAAACAGTGAACAGTGATGAAGATAATGATGGGATGGGAGATCCATCATATGGATGGCCGAACCCTGCAGGAAGGTTGGGCGAAATTTCAAAAATTTCTTTACTCCCATCCGGTAATCCTATTCCCAATTTAGAAAACTGCATTTTCAAGGTTCGTTCTTGTAACCAAACCGGACCAAATCTGAAACCAAAATAAGAGAGGGATATACCTGATACGGAATCCATGCAAAAATGCTCCTCCCAACGTAAGACCAAATCTGAAACCAAAATAAGAGAGGGATATACCTGATACGGAATCCAYGCAAAAATGCTCCTCCCAACGTAGGTGTTCACGCCCAAAGAGAGTACCAAATCCTCCCTCCACTGAAGATGACACAGCTTAGGGTGAAGCAGGATCAGCAGGTGTTTCTTCACCAAGACTAGTGATTCTTCAGCAAGAATCGAATGGGACAGTGAGCACAACTTCTAAAATGTTTCTTCTCGCAAGAAACAATATCAAGATCAAATCTTGATCCAATCCAAGAACTGGAAATCGAACAGGGTAGGGCGGCAAGCAGGAAGAAAAAGAGCAGAAGGCAAGATTAGTCTAACTGTGTTGTCTTCTCTCTGTATTCAGTGAGTGTTTTGAAAGTTCACCCCGCTCTCTTATTTATAGCCTTAAAGAGACAATTTCCTAATCTCATTAGGAGTTTCCTAATCCAAATCTTTTATTTGGATCTAGATTCTTTAAGTGATAAGGATAATCCTTTATCTGTAGATAAAGATCAGCCTTCCTAATCAAATTAGGAGTTCCTTTGGTCCAAATCTTTATTTGGATCTGGACTCTTTAATTGGATAGGAATAATCCCTTATCTTATCTGCTGATCCAAATCCCAGATTCGCCCCTATTTAATTAATTTAATTAACCCAATTCGAAATGAGTTTTTAGGCCCATTAAGCTTTCAAGCTCACTTCCATTTAAATGCTGGCTAGCTTGGCTCTCTTGGTATGGCGTGGGACTTATCATTGATCTACACATCAGCCACATGGGTTCAGTTTAGCCTCTGTTACAAGGCCTAGCCGATTTCACTGTTGAATACAATGAACCCCTGAGTCTATCACTATGGGCTCTTAATGGGCCCAACATTTACACTAAATCGTCATTGGGTCCAGCCATCTTATGAAAGCCCAAGGACTATGGGCAGATGCAAAATTAGCCCATCAGATATAACCCTCAATGGTCTTACACTTAACCTCTCAGCCCATAATGATCTAACACTACCCGACAAGGGAGGACCTCTCCCTCGGCTGCAAGGTGCAGTGTTGCACTCTCTAGTCACATGGATCCCGGGAATTAAAACCTTTTGCAAACATTTTGAAGCCATAATATTATATATTTATATCTCTATATAAATATATTTTGCAAATACAAATTTCAACGGTTGAAATCAAATGCCGGCAGTTTAGGTTTCCATCAGAGAGAGTGCATCCCTGATCATTCACTTTGTCCGACAAAGGAGTTGATCTTGTCACTATGATCACCCACTCAGATGAATTCTCGGACTGTCCCAACATACTTAGTTTTAGACCCCCTCTAAGGATCTCACTGATTGACATATCAAAGATAGCCCAATCCGACACTTAGTGCAGTATCATAATCGAGTCTAGGGGTCAGGTGTAACATTCCAGTTTTGCCCATCTATCTCCAAGGTCCAAGGCAATACTGAAATTTTGGTCCGATTCAGGGCTTCAAGAAAACCCACACTACATGCACCTCAAGTCTCACCCTAACAGCTGAGACAAGCCACCCCAACCAACTTGGTGGTACATCAGTGTCAGCCTTTGCAAGATAAATCTCCCCAGATCTATGCAATGGCTGTGAAGATTCTAAACTAACACGTGTATCATATGTGTCCAGTTTAAGGGTATTACACAGAAACACACCATAATAACATGAATCAAATATGTACTTTATTCATTTACAATAAATGTCATAATGTACATCATGCTGATTGGAGCTAAGGGCATACACTATCTAACAGCTCCCACTTGCACTTAGGTCCAATCGGGTATAAGTCGGAGTCTCATACTTTCCACATGTTTCTCAAACACTTTTTATGTCAGTGGCTTAGTCAATGGGTCTGCCACATTCTCCGCTGATGCTACTTTTTAACATCAATCTCCCGTAGATCCAGTGTTGTCACACAACAGTAGAATGGGTGATGTGTTGAATTCTAAATTCTAGAATGAACACCTTCATTCATTAGGCAGCCTCACTTACGGCAATGTGCTCGGCTTGGGTTGTGGACTGTTATTTTTACTACTCAGGACCCCATCGTAAAGATGTAAACAAATGTAGACATTCTACCATTTGGATCTAACTGGCAATCGGTATCAGTATACCCGACGATCTGTAGTGAACTACCATCAAATACCAGACAAAACTCCTTTTGTCCTTCGAAGGCATTTTAGTATGTGTTTCACAACAGTCCAATGCTCTTGTCCTGGGTTAGATTGATATCTACTTACCACACTTACGGCCTGAGCAATGCTTGGCCGAGTGCACAGCATGGCATACATGATGCTCCCTACGGCAGAGGCATAGGAAACTTCCTTCATGCCCTCAATCTGCTCAGGTGTCTTGGGAGACATACCCTTGGAAAGAGTGACTCCATGCCTGAAAAGAACATTTCATTTCTTGGAGTTCTCCATACTGTATCTCTTGACTATTTTGTCAATATAAGTAGACTGGGATAATCCTATTATCCTCTTCAATCTATGTCTATAGAGTCGAAGTCCCAAGATATAAGAGGCTTCTCCAAGATCTTTCGTGGAGAATTGTTGCGAAAGCCATACTTTCATCGTAGTCAACATTCCTACATCATTCCTAATTAGTAGAATGTCATCTACATACAGAACCAAGAACGTAACCATATCTCCACTAGTCTTCCTGTAAACACAGGACTCATCCGGATTCTGCTCAAAGCCAAACTGTTTGACAGTACAGTCAAACCGGATGTTCCAGCTCCTAGAAGCTTGCTTAAGTCCATATATGGATCGATTAAGTTTTCATACCATGTGTTCCTGACCTGCAGTTATGAAACCTTGTGGTTGCTGCATATACATATCTTCAATAAGATCTCCATTCAGGAATGCAGTTTTGACATCCATTTGTCAAATCTCATAGTCATGGTATGCTGCTACATCTAGTAGGATTCTAATGGATTTAAGCATGGCCACGGGCGAAAAGGTTTCCTCATAATCGATTCGTACCCTTTCGCCACAAGACAAGCCTTGTAGGTCTCAACCTTACCATCGGGGCCTTTCTTCCTCTTATAGATCCATTTGTAACCAAATGCTTTTACCCCAGGGGGCGGATCTATCAGAGTCCAGACTCCATTGGTCTCCATTGAGTCCTTCTCAGCTCCCATGGCATCTACCCACTTCAAGGAATCTATGTCCAACATAGCTTCTGTATAAGTCACGGGATCCTCCTCACTGGTCGTGGCTTCCACCAAGTAACTTTCTTGGTCATAGCTGTAACGAATTGGAGGCCTGGATGCCCGGGTAGATCTCCTAGGTTGGTTATTAACTAGAGCTTGTGGGACATCTCCCACTACTCCTGAGCTCTACTCATCAAGAACAACTTCCTGACGATGATTGTTCAAGATGTAATCTTCCTCCAAGAAATGGGCATTTCGACTACAGAACACCTTCTGTTCTCCTGGGTCATAGAATAAATACCCTACATAGCCTTTTGGGTAACCTATAAATAAGCAACGGCTGGTTTTAGATTCCAATTTGTCAGCACTTGTTCTTTTAACATGTGTCGAACAACCCCAAATCTTCAAGTGTCTCACACTTGGTTTCTTATTGGTCAAAAGCTCATAGGGAGTCTTCGGAACAGATTTGGTTGGAACCTGATTCAGCACGTATATCGCACTCTCCAATGCATAACCCTAAAAGGATGTGGGTAATTCCGAGTGTACGAGAAGTGATCGGATCATATCTAATAAAGTCTAGTTCCTCCTTTTTGACACCGTTTAGCTGTGGTGTAGCAGGAAGAGCTCGTTGTGATACTATCCCATTTTTCTTTAACTAGTCCTTGAATTCGTCAGAGAGATATTCGCCTCCTCAATCTGATAGAAGGGCCTTAATGTGTCTCCCTAACTGTTTCTTGACCTCTTGCCTGAACTCTTTGAACTTTTCAAATGATTCAAACTTGTGACTCATTAGGTGCACGTAACCATATCGAGAGTGATCATCGGTGAATGTTATAAAATAAATGTGCTTGTTACGTGTCCTAACATTCAGGGGACCACATACATCAGTATGTATAAGGTCAAGTGTGCCTGTTGATATTTCAGGCATACTATTAAATGGTCGTTTCATGATCTTACCCTGAAGGCAAGGTTCACAGGTTGGAAGATCTTCTAGTTAGAAAATCTAAAGGACCATCATTTACCAATCTTGTGATACGATCTATGTTAATGTGGCCAAGTCGGTAATGCCACAGGCACGTGGGATTAACTGTATCACGGGTTCTTTTCT